ATTTTGAAGGTAATTCAGAAAATTCGCCAAAATAAATGATACCAGCGAAAGTTCATTTCTGAGATTATTTCTCTAGAACTTGTCGAAATGTTATTATTGGTTTCTTGAAATACGCAACCAGGAATTTCATATGAGATGTCAATTAGGACAGATAAATTAATTTCATCTAAGGTCAATACCAGCTTATTTTATTATAGAAGAACAAAAAAATGTTTTGGTTGGTTTCTGGATTTTGCAGTGGTCTTCTTTGGTTATAATCTCCAAACGTTTCAACTGCAACTGGGGCAGTCATCCTCAGTGGTGTGGTTGAAGTACTCTTCTTGCGTAACAACTGAAACTGAAGCTCTCATTTCTACCGTGTCATTTATAGTGCTGATTTTTTGCGCCTTTTTGTGCGTACTTTCCGCGCGATTTGGGTGACTTGGCTTCGTTTTGGCGCTTTTCAATGCTGTGTGGTAGATATATTCTCTCTTAATTTCTGTTGAAGTTCTCTTGTTGTTTGTGTATTTCTATGGCTTCTAAATACATTCTTGTTGAATAGCTTCTCGGTATTTTCGAACAGAATCTTGTGTTCCCGTCGGACCGTGCATGTTCAGCGACTGCTTGGTCTGTCCCAAACGGCAACTCTGCTTGTGCTCGATTCGGCGGATAACAATGCTTCTTTTCGCCTGACCGATATAAACTTTATTTACCACAGTTACAAGGAATCCTGTAAACTCCCGCCGATTTGAGTCGATCTCTCTGTCTTTTGCTGATCTCGGATACTCCGATATTTTCTTCGTTGGTTTGAAGAAGAAGTTAATTTTCTCTTTCTTTAGAATTTTGCCGATTCGGTTGGTGACGCCTATGTATGGCAGATAAACAGTACCTTGGGGATGATCTTCACTGGTGTTTGGAGCCATGGAAAAGAAGAATTTTATAACTTCCTAAGTCATCTGAATATAGCTTTCATACAAAAATCCAGTTTTACCATGAAATTAGAAGAAAACTTCCAAATACCATCCTCGATGTTTTATTCATCAAGGAAGGTAATCAACTAGAACATAAGGTATTCAGGAAGAAAACACACACAGATCGATACCTACATAATGGATATAACCATCATTCAAAATAGAAACGAACCGTTATCAACATCCTGGTGAACAGAGCTTTGAGAATATATAAAGAAAGGTACGCGTCCAAGGGAAAAGAAAAGAAACACCAGTGAAGATCAACCCCAAGGCACTGTCTATCTGCCATACATAGAAGGTGTCACCAACCGAATCGGGAAAATTCTCTAAAAGAGAGAATTAACACCGTCTTCAAACCAACGAAGAAAATATCGGGAGTATCTGAGATCAGCAAATAATATCAGAGATCCACTCAAATCAGCGGGAGTTCACAGGGTTCCATGTAACTACGGTAACACATGTTTCACTTCACAATAGCTCTCTCAGACGTGTTCATACTCGCCTGAACTCCTGAGAAAGATATTGTACGTGTTGTTATTTTGTAAACTGTTTAGAAAATATCTCGCAATAATGTGTTACTTGAATGGGTTATAAATTTTCATCAAGTATCGGCCAATTTCATCACATTTCTCATGGATATATTGAAGATTTGTAAAGTCATCATATTTTAGTTTTTAGAGAATAATGGCGGGACGGTAGCCGGTTGGTATGATTGGTTTGTTCCACTTCAGGCCGGACGATCGATTTTCACTGCCCAACGTCCAACCCGAGCTAGAAATCGCTTGCTAGCTGAGAAAAAAAATGTTAAAGCTTGTCGCCTACTTGTCCGGCACAGCAGAGCACGGCACTGTCCGTCACCTGATGGCGACTGGTAATATCATCGCCCACTTGTTCAGCTACAACCAGCATAGGTACTGAAGGTGCTGTGGAGGTTCTATTTCAAAGGAATTTCAGTTGACATCGAGCGGTGACAAAAACATGTCTATAAGTATCAGTTCTGACGAAGAAGTCGTCATTATAATGACCGCATTATTGAATGTAGAAGGAAATAGCCACAAAAAAAAGGATGTGGGTCCATCCCATTAATCAGAAGAGGGCAAATCTGGGAGGGCTTCATCATCTTTTCAACGACCTGAAAGAAGACGAGAAATTTTTCCATTATTTCCGAATGACTAAACATGTATAAATTAAACAACACCATGTATAAAGTGATAATACAAAGAATAAATTAATTTATTGTTAAAATGATTCGCTAAAATACTCTTCCAAACTATAATAGAGTCTATCAACGAGTAGGTTTTTCACTGCCGTTTTGAAATGAATGTTGCTTAGATTTTCAGATCTCATTTCTAATGGTAAACGATTGAACAACTTACCACCATTATAGTATATGGAATCCTTGATTGAATTCGAAGTTGAGATAGGAAGTCTAAAAGTATGATTGTTATTACGAGTAGCATAAGAAGTAGAGGCAAAGTTGAACTTCGATTTATGTTTATAAATAAGGAAAACCGTCTCTAGGATAAAAATGTTATTGGCAGTGAACAAGTTCTTGCACGATTCTCTGGGTTTTAACGTACCGTTATTTGCCGGACAGGATCGGGGAGCTGGAATCCTTTCTGGCGGCGGACGCGCATGGCTGTACCGCAGGAACTACGTTGAGAACAACTCGAGCGCTACTTATGATAATGTCTATCGCAGTGGCAGACGAAATGTCAGGCATAAAAACCTGCAGACGACGACCAGAAAACCCGGGAAATAGCTTCGACATAACTAGAATACTATTTAAAATTGTTTCATGTCCTTTTTGTAGGGGAACACTGCCAAATCGCTTACTTTCACTTATTTCTTTTTCAAAATTAGTTGTTACTAACTCGAGCTCCGATCTCTAGATAGTACGAGGGTGGTCTAAAAAGTTTTCGACATAGCAAAGATAGGTACTGGATATTTTTTCAGAATTTTGTTTTTATTTTTCAACATAGTCTCCTTTTAACTCTACACATTTCTCCCAGCGATGCTCCCATCTCTGTAACCCGTCCAAATAGTACTCGGCGTTTTTATCTGCAAAGTGATTGTTCACGAAGGTGATTGCCTCTTCATTTGACGAAAATCTTTGTCCTCCGAGCGCAATTTTTAGATGAGGAAACAAGAAGTCGCTTTTGGCTAGATCTGGTGAGTAAGGCGGATGGTCAAGCAGTTCAAACCGTAATTCGTTAATTTTCGCCATGGCAACCGCTGAGGTGTGAGACGGTGCTTTATCTTGGTGGAACAGGATTTTTTTTCTGCAAATGTGGCAGTTTTTCCGTAAGTTCTGCCTTCAGCTTGTCAAGTAACGCTGTGCAGTATGCTTCTGTAATGTTTTTTTTATTTTTTGAAGATAATCCATTGAAATAACTCCATGACTATCTCTAAAAACAGTCGCCACTACTTTCCCAGTCCAATGTTTGGACGGTATTTTTGTTTCTAGTGTATAATGGTGTATCCAAGTTTCATGTACAGTAATTAAACGGTGCCTAAAGTTCTCCAACAGAGTGTTGGCAAAAACGTTTTTGGTCTAACGTGAGCAAACGCGTCACCCAACGCGCGGACAGATTTCTCATGCGTAAATGTTGATTTAATATGTGACGAACACGAACTTTTGATATGTTCATAACCTCTGCTATCGCTTTCATTTTTATTCGTCGGTAGTCTAATACCATTTGGTGAACTTTGGCGATGTTGTCGGTAATTGCAGTTTTTGGAAGTCCCGAAAGTTCTTCGTCTCCCAAGCTCTTACGGCCACGTTTAAATTCAGCTGCCAAAAATTTCACTTTGGTAAATGATGGTGTGGAGTCCCAAAACACAGAATCCAACTAGTCTTTGATTTGCGTTGGCGTATTGCCTTCCAAAAACAAATATTTAATGAGAGCTCGGTACTCGATTTTGTCCATTTTCATAAAAGCACTCACATCAACTCCCTGAAATGACTGTTACATAACAACTGCGCGTCCAAAATGGCTGAAACTTTGGTGAGTGAACAACGAAATTCACTAGCTTTCATTCACGAATTCTGCTATCTTCATGTTGAGTTCGGAAACTTTTCAAACCACCCTCGTATATCTTTTACCAAATTGTGTTCGTTTTAACCGTTTTAACAGGTCTAGTGCAAATCATCAATGTAAAAGCTTCCTAGCCTTCAACTTTTTCACAATTTTTATGCATTTAGTAAAATATAATCATATTCAGATTTAAAGAATTGCCTGAAATTCTTTTGCCGTGGCAGATCCTGCCTTTTATTTTTGAATGAAAATGTGCCAGAATAAGTTTCTTTCATTAGTGAAAATCATACAAATAAACTGTACTGATTAGTTGTTTAATATGAATTTTCATCAAGTATCGGCCAGTTCTATTCAATCAATAAAAAAGTCATCTACTTTATAGTAACATTTACTGATTAGAAGCTTCCTCAATTTGTTTTTGAATATTCTGTAATTCCTCTCATTCGCAATATCCTCAGGCAGCTTATTGTATAGTTGAACCCCTGTAAAGGAAGGGGCATTTTCGAACAGGGTTGTTCTATGTTGTGGTATCTGCAAGCGAGTACCATATCTTGCATTATAGTTGTGATTAACACCACTTGTCGGGAGGTTAGAGGGTTGTAATTTAATTGTCAATAATGATTTCATGATGTATATACATGGCACAGTGAGGATAATTGTTTTCAATAAAGTAGGGTTTGCAAGAATCTGTACGTTCAATTCCGAAAATCAGGCGTATTATTCTATTTTGTGATATCAGCAATCTTTGATACGATACTGCATTACCCCAGACAACTATATAGGATATATGGGGGCATAGTAAATATTGATAAGTTGAAGCTTAATGAAGATGTTCATCTGCAGAATGGCATAATACCCACTATTTACTTTCTTGCTATGATCGATACAATTTCTGAAGGATAGATGGGAGTCTAAGAACGTGCCTAAAATCTCGTAAATTCAGATGTAATCAATGTCGCGTTATATTCATAGAAAAATGATAAAAGAGGTGCTGACGAATGAAACACTAAAAATACTTGAACTGTCTTTATTAGAGCCTGTATAGATTGAAAAGTCTTGGATTATGTCGATGATAAAGTGGTTTCTTCAGTGACTCATCCATCGTCGAATGAAACAACAAGTATCATGAAACTACTATATTCATATGAAGTTGATTAATTGAATTAAAAACATCTCACTAAAAGTCTATGGTTAAACATCAACAAAACTTATATCGTAAGTATTCAATTGAAACAATCTAAAAATCTATTACACAGTAATCACATTCAGAAAAATATCACAAATGGAGAAGTCCCCACTACAACATTACTTGGCTCCAATCGAGAATCTCATAACGTTCAAGGGTAGACTGATCGATCTCTCACTGGGTGATTGAAACATGTCGAGAATCAATCAATGCTGAAACGCTACATGTTGCAGTGTTATGAAATCCTTTTGCAATTAATTCAGTTCATCACAATTTGTACTTTTTGCATCTTCATCCTATATTATGATTCTTTCGTAAATGATAACACAAACTGAATTGATGTTACTTGAGAAACTTACAAATAAAAAAAATCACAAGAGATTGTAAGCTTAACATTAATATTTTTGAAAAAAAACGCCGAACATACAAAAATATTGTTTCAAAGAAATACACAAGTTGAAACATCACAGCATTACTTTCTACATAATTACAATATTAGAATTTGAATGATTTCTTCCTAAATACATATATCCAATATTGATAAATATGTTTGGAGTGTTGAGTTCAATAATAACTATAATAATAAGAAATAAATATACTTGATTTAGCGCAACATTATGGAATACCACAAATTCTCTTTGAACTTTGCAAATTCTCTTATTCTGGTATCAAATATATTGAAAAGTATTGCATGAACAATTATGAAAATTTATGGTACTCCCATAATTGGAAGCAACTATTAACAATGTTTCTCATATTGGTTGAGAGATCGAATTTTTCAGTGCCTTTTAGCACAGTTAATATATGTTTCATTTGTTAATTATCTGGCAACAAGAATCTCTGAAGTCCGAGTTGAACCGCGTCTGATGTTCGAAGTTTCGGCTTCGACTTTGAAGCCATGGAATATTCACAGGGTTTCAAAGTTCTGCGTTTCGTTTTATGTTATTAATGAAAAATCTCGTTTTTGAAAAAATAATTGGTCAGAGACAAATTAGAAATTATATATTTCAGAATGACATTCATTCCTATTTGATAATTTTGAAATGTATCTTCATGTTATAATCAACATTTATTTAATAAGCAGCTGAAAGTTCAATTAAACATTGAAAGAAATGAAAAATTCCTTTCATATTTGGTGGGTATGAATAATATAAATTATGGTGTTTGAGTTAAGTTAATGAAGTTTTCTTGTACATTTTAACAATTGTGGCATAAATTTGGACGTTGGAAGTGTTTTCAGATACATTCAATAAATAATTTTCAGATGAAACTGACAACTTGATTATGCTGTTCTGATAAGTTTTCAAATGTGGGACTACTAGAAATGAACGATTTCGAAATGTGCTTGTTCCCATATAATTAAGACAAATTCATCACAATTTGACATATATGACTGTGGTGTTGATGGAAATTATTGAACTCATACTCAATCTACAGAATGGTCATTTATTTTAACATTCTCCTTCTTGATTAGACCAGTCCGAAAATAATTTTTTCAAAATTCATTCCAGAAATTTAATGAGAAGGAGAAGAGACCATTAAAATACAAACTAAATGGCAGTGAAATTATACTAAAGAAAATATTATTAATACTGAGATCAAGACATGAAATTTAGGTTATGAAAAATAGCGAAACTGCAAACTCAGTAATTTTCAACCCTTCAATATGTAGACAAACTACAATGTTACATTTAGCGAAATGAATATTCAATCACTGCCCCTGCAATAATGATAAATGGATTTTCAGTATTTTCGATGCACTATTAACGATCCGATGCGTAAAAAAAAGGATGGAAGTCATTAGCGTTTATAAGGATTTTCACTTTTGTCTTTGATGACTTAATAAACCAGTTCGTTTAAAAAAGAATGGAAGTCATCATGTGTTCAGATGTTGCAAAATATCCTCAAGAGAGCACCAACTTCCAGAATCAAACTTATGTACATGATATACAGAGATTAAAAAGTTATATAGATTTCAATTTATTTACAAATGTGGTCACATATTTAATATGTATGTTTGGAAGTTCTCCTTTTCCCACTGTCGTGACGAATAAAAAACAGTAGAAAAAGACAATTATAAAAATATTATTATAATTGTTCAAATATTAAAAATAACTAGGTATCTTAAACAGTAAAATGAAGATAATTCATTATGAACTCAAAACATCACATGAAATTTTTGATGTCCCTTACAACATTCTAATAAAATACCTTAAGACAACAAAGAAAACTATAGCACTGTATGATATCGTTTCTGATCCTGTTGCATAAAACAAATATGTTATAAAGTACAAAATTCTCATTTCAGATTTTAAACACGAAGCAGACTATATAAGTTTCACCACACCTGCGGACACTATCAGTGCCATTGTACAAATGATGGAGCTTGAACAAGCTCAGTTTGTGACTAGTCGTACTTGTGCTTCATAATCCTAGATCTTCAGATACACAGACGCCAGTCATCTAATTGACAGATGTAGCCATGTTAATCTTATATACATCCTTTCTGGCCTTGATCATACATTTCAAGCTGTCATCCTAATAAGAAAAGGTGACGACTTCTTCCATACGAGCAGGCAACATAGAAATGCAGGTACCCTTCCATCATAGTTCAATTGGTCATGTAGTAATTGACGGTTCTCAGTGCGTACAGCAGCTCTGCCTGCATTCTAGACTCTAAAATCATGAGGTTCACGTGCACCTGAAAATCAGAAACAATGTTTTTCAAAATAAATCAAGTTTGCAGATTCACAATATATTATTTTATATCATCTTCATGAAAAACTAACAAAAATTTCAAGGAATTTCTTTCAGTGTCTTTAAAGGTGAATGTTTAATCCATTTTGTATGAATAAAAAAACACATGCCTATGCCTGAAAAAAGTTAGGAGCGCCCTCTCTCGGCGACAAGTGATGCGGTACCATTCTCTTTCTTATCAAAAACTAATAAAAATGACAGCTTTTGACGTTAATTTTGCGAGACGTCGATATCCTGTCCCAACCAAAACTTGAGGGACTTGAAAATGATGGAATCATCAAAACAAAGATAAATAAACAAACAAATAAACAACTTGCACAATATTTAATTTATTCAGGATCGTTGACCCATACAGTGGCATACATAAATTATTTCTATTGACTTGTATATTTTGATAAAGAGAGAATTGAAGACTTGGCTAAATATTCATGAAAATAGATGGTGATTCTTCAAACTTGAATAGTTTATCAACCTTGATTAGACTGTCACCTTTTTCCTTGCAGCTGAGCACCTCTCAGTTGCATGGAAAATCATCATATCCAAAACCAAAGCCAGTGCACCACCAGCAGCAAATACACCGCCCAGGACAATAATCAATATGACTTCAGATAAGGAAACTCCAGTTTAAGTTAAACTACCAAGAAGAGAACATGCAAATGGCAGATGTGATCTTGCCGAAACGTCGTGATAATGTTAAAGACGAACGGATGTACACCCGGATGTACACACTCACATAATATAGGTAAAGGAATCTCACCTTTTCACTGTGCTGGAATTCTCTGAGGACTTTGTCGTAATCCTTTTTCGTTACTCTTTCAGGGTAACATGTAGCGCTTTTAATAAACGTTTTCAAGGTTCTTTCCACTAAGGCGTCGATCTCACCATAATCGTAATCATCATGGCGTATCCCAAATAAACACTGAATGTAATACCAAATGGCTCTACGAAACTTTGACGTATCCACATCTTTGCGACCTCCCATTGTGTAGTATGTCAGGTTATATGCAGTTCTGAATTTATCGTCAAGAAGATTACCTACGTCATTGTAAAGCCTGAAAAAGATTTGTTTTACATTAATATTCTGTATCCCCTGCAGTCAACAAGTAACAACTACTTCATAAAATACATGACATTAATGAGAATTGAAAAACCGAATAGAAATATTCATTAGCTTCTGATGAGTCTACGACGCGAAATCATTTTACATTCAATAACTTCCTGAAAGTAAACATATTCTATAAAATCAATCCCTCACCAATTATTTCTTAAGTTGAGAAACATCAAACTTTAAAACACCAACTTTTTTCACGCCGAATATAACAAAAAACATTTCTCAAAATTCGTTGGTTTAGAGTACCAATATTTAAGCAATGCTGTTGAAACGGCCTCTCAAAAATGTTCATTGCTAATATCTGAGATGTCTTTACACTGTGACAAAGGAAAAGTTAAAGTATTGCAAACTTTGAACTGTTCAGATTTCGATGAACAAAAAGTTTAAACAAGCGGTCAAACATCAAGTTGAAACATAAATTTCGCAATATTTTGCCATAACCTCACTATTTAATTTCGAAAAGTCTAGGTCTAGGTGGCTTAAATATGGTGCAGTCAGAAATCAACTTATCACCTCCTCAAGAGCGGGATATCTTTTGAATCAGATTTTCACCAAACTCTTGAGCAACTTTAGCAGAATCTGTATCAGGAGAGGAAGCAAACTGCCCCAAATGGATACATTTTGTATTCAGTTTGAAATTTTTGATCAATCGCAAGGGATAGTAAGCCTTTGAAGGTGTAGGGGTGGGTGTTCGAATCATTTAGAAATGAAGAGCGACATGTTCAAGTCTTTTTTTGAGATTTGCTGAAGTGAACACGTTTCATCAGTGTGAAGAACAATCTAGGCAAGCTAAATTTACTTCTCGGTCAACTCATATGCATAACAAACTTGGAAAACTTGCACTAACCTGTTCACTAAGGAGTACCCATGGTCATCCCAGGAATAATCTTGGACTCTAAAGGTGGGAATATCTTGGGTATCACCTCTCTTTACGAAATCGATGTAATTAAAACTGGCATCATCAACGTAACATTCTATAGATGTAGTGGTGTACTGGGTTCGGGATCCTACAGCACCAATTTCTGCTGACTGAGTTTCAATGCTTTCAAAACGTTTGGCCAGTTCCTCAGGTTTACACTCTCGCTGTTGTTCGGAGAGAGTTTTCATGCGCTGCATCAAAGTTGAAATTCTAACCTCTGGTTCTGTAGTCGGTGATGGTGGAGTACTTACGGGTGTAGATTTCCAGTCTAGAAGGAAGAACGTTATCATTATTTGTTAGTTAAAGATACAAGTAAGTTTTAATGACTAGATTTAATTTTGTATTCAATATGCCTGTAAGATGCTAGTGTTTCAATTTAGTTTCATCTCGCTTTATGGTTTTTCATAACATATTAAATTTTCACATTTATTTGCTTACTCAGACAAAAGTTAAATACATTCATAAGTATATATACAGGATATTAATTTCCAACTGAGCTACAAGGTAATAAAATGCACTCACCTTGAACTATATCTTTAATAGGTATATCTTTGGGTTTGGTTTTACTAATGCTATTCGTTTTGGTTCCAAGCGTAGGTAAATTCTGGTTGTGGTATTCGAAATCTACAACATGATCGAGTTCTTGGTTTAATCCACAAGAAAATGTTATTTATAACATGACCATTCCTCAACATTATTGCCCCGTGTTTAAAAAAAAACGTGTGCGTCTCGGAACGCCCGACAGAAGTTATAACTTAAACTAATCTAAGTTGAACTATTCAATATTGAAATTGTTTAACTTGAGGAAAGCTTAGGTTATTACGTAAAAATTTTATGTATATCAATATAAAAATGTAAGGAAAGGTTATTAATTAACAAAATCTTCTATTTGTATGTACTATGTGTATGTACATATATTAACTATTCAATATTGAAATTGTTTAACTTGAGGAAAGCTTAGGTTATTACGTAAAAATTTTATGTATATCAATATGAAGATGTAAGGAAAGGTTATTAATTATTTATTATTTTGTGTATGTACATATTTTATAGCTACTACCATAAGCCAATTGTTACTTTTGAAGGAATAAATAATGATATTGTCAACAGTATATGACTATCGCATACTAAACACTGAGCTTTGTCTGATGAGAGAAGAGGAGCCTACCTGCCGCCGAAGTATGGGTAAAAAAAAAGGAAGCAAGACAGACTAGTGCTGTAACGCGTTAGGTAACGAAGTGGTTCACCCTCCCTCCCTCCCATAAGAAGTTATCACCATATTACCGAAAACTTTAGTAAAAATGACTTACCTCGATATGAGATCTACACAACAGCCAAGGTCTGTGGGCTAATATTTTGTTGATATCATTTAAATTTCTCAACTTCTGGGGAATATACTTTAGCCCCTTTAACCAGTTTGGTTCCCCGCCCTGCAGAAGAAATTCTTGTTTCTGCAGACTGATTAGATAGTTGCACTGGTGTCGTCCTGCAGCCTGAAAAAAAGATCACCGTTCTAGATAATTCCCGTTCAAGATAATTGCCTTCAAATATGAAACACGAAATATTTATTCAATATATTGGTAGATAAAATCAAAGTTCATCTCTGTTTTGTGGATAACATTCATAACATATTACCAAACTCTGAGATATTATTCAAATGCACGTGGTCGTGCCGACCATTTTTTTAAAACAAAAGCTGGTTCATATACTGATTACTCATATCTTGAAAATAAATAGTGTTTGGGTTAGATAAATTATATTTACATAAACTGTGGTTGTCGTTTTTGAAGACCTTAAGGAAACACCAATGTGTAATAAGTTTATACCAAAAGATTCAAATCAGTATTCTCCATGAAAATTTCACAAGCTACAAAGTTGATTTAGAGATAGATTGAAGACCTTATCATTATTGATCTTTTTACACGCTTTATATCAGCTTCACCTGTATGTATGTATGTTTGTAACTCTCAAGCTCGGAATCTGTATTTGACATAATTACCGAAATTATTGCTTGATCTATTCGCGAGCAGATAGCGCTGTACGTAAAATACATTTATTGAAACTACACCACATTGATAATCGCTTGGAGCATTTCAAATACTCAACGATTGAATAGCTTTTTCTATAATTTTCAGTATTTCTGAAATTGAAGCAACTTGTCTCTAGTAGTTATTTGGAAGTTTTTAGTGACTATTGATTTGCACTCTGCTGATTGGAACAAAACACATCTATACATACTTGCAATCAATCTGCCCAGATATCATTGAAAGTACTGTCTTCCTAATATTTCTATGACTTTTCAAATATTTCAGTTTCTAGTTGTCTTCTCAAAAGAACCCAATTCACCTATACTACTGAGAGTAGTATAGTCATCTTCTGATGTTGCTCGACGCACGTCGAGAGGTGGTATTTTTGTTCTGGTGTATTCGATTGATTCCAAATTATATCAATCAAACTAATTTCAGTATTTTATTTATTCATTGAATTTTTTGGCAATTACATTAATTGTTTAAATTGAAAGGGGTAATCAAATAAGATTCCTACGGCTGGGATTTAACCAAATAAGCGAATGAATGTCATTACGGACTGCCATCGATGACATGAGTAGATTTAACTCATCCGTGACATAAAGTCGTAATTTTATGATTGAATTCAGTGATTTATCTCATAATGTTATCCATATTGGTGCTGAAGAGGCAATGAAGCAAGTGTCTTATTCCGAAACATTGGATGTCTACCAGTGAGGATGACAGTAATCGGTGTAAGTGGAATTTTACCACTTTCATTTACTATATTGTGTAATAATCCTGTGAATGATATCTGATTCAATTCTATAACAAATGTTTGGAATACAAACTGAATAGAGAAAATTGTTTTTTGTATGAATCGGTGTTATTTTTCCTACGAGTAATTTAATGTTTATATGAAAGTAGCTGTTTCGAGAGGGTTTTTTATTCCAGTTTGTGTCTGAAAGTTACTTCTTTGCAACATATACACATTTGTGTATAGATTTAATTTTTTGGAATGGATTCCTTTATTAATTTTCTTGAAGATTCCCATATTTTTCTGTATAAAGATGGAGGAGAAGCACAACTTTTTATTCCCATAGATTGATTGATTACGAAGAATTCTCAATTGGAACTGTGAATCATATATCTGTCTAACCCTTTATTCATCGAGAGCGCAAAGTAAACTTTGCATTTTGTATTTATTTATTTATTTAACGGCAAAGCCAATTTACATATTTAACAAAGTGTGAAGAACTACAAAGTATTTTTGAATGTTCATATCTAATGTATATATTACAATTTAACAAAACATTTAGCGAAGTGCGATATACAAAATATTAATGAGTCCTTATGTCTAGTGACTACATTACAACAAATCTGGTACTTACAAGGAAAAATTTGTAACAAATCTGGTACTTACAAAAGAAATGGTAAGGTAAAGAAAAGCTTCGGAAACGTTATAGACTTTTGAATTGATTTTTAAAGTCCTGAAGTGACTCATTAAACAGATCTAAGTTATTTGAGGAATCAGACTGTTCAAAGCATAATTGGTATGAAAAAAATTCATGTGAAAAATGTCAGGATTTCTAGTATAATTTTGTTTGATATGAAAAGTTATTAATTGAAGTAGTTCTGGGCAACTTGGTTAAGAGAACAATATTCAAGAAGGGATCTTACGAAAGCACAATATAAAATCTTATTTGTTTTAATCAAAAAATGAGTAGAAATTCTCAATACAAAACCTAGCATTTCAAGACTTTTTGCCACAATTTCTGATACTTGAAGATTAAAATTAATTTCGCTATCAAATTCAACTCCCAGATCGCGAATAAATGTTTCTCTTTTAAGAGCTATGTTATTCAATTTATATTCAAGGAATATTGGGCTTCTAATTTTAGCGAAAGTAATGATTTGACACTTATCGATGTTTACCATTAACAAATTACTTCTACACCACATGGAAAAAGCTTCGAGATCTTTTTGAACTAATTCAGCATCTTTCCGGCAAGTAATTTATCGATAAAGTTTGAGATCATTCGCATACCTGAAAGAAGACGAGAAATTTTTCCATTATTTCCGAATGACTTCAGGCAAATTTTCAGAAATTCTGGATATTTTAGAGCCTTGTGATGCACTGTTTGGAACCTTTGGTTTAGTAATGAATACTACTGGAGGAAGATCAAACTGTTTGATCTTCTTCTTGAAGACGATCATTTGGTGATCAAAACACGTTTCAAGGTGTTAAAATAAAGGTTTGCTGTTGGGAAAAAACTCCAGTAATATTCATTTTAGAGCCTGCCTTAACAAGCAACTCAATTTTTCCTCGTCCATTTTCATAGGTACCGTCTGACAATGTGCTGTCAACTGATGGAATAGCAAAACAGAGAGACAGAAATTTCCCAGGCACATTTGAACAAGTTGATGCTGGCAAGCACTGGCCGGCGACGCGCTCACTTGGCCAGTTCGTCACAGCAAATCGAGTCAAAATATACTTTATTGTCCGAAGATTTGCATCTTATTGATAAAGTCCAAGAAATACAATGTAGATATAGAAAAAGTATAAATGTAGATATAAAAAAAAGTTCCAAAAATGTATAAATGTAAATATAAAAAAAATTATTGTTAAAATGATTCGCTAAAATACTCTTCCAAACTATAATAGAGTCTATCAACGAGTAGGTTTTTCACTGCCGTTTTGAAATGAATGTTGCTTAGATTTGCAGATCTCATTTCTAATGGTCAACGATTGAACAACTTACGACCATTATAGTATATGGAATCCTTGATTGAATTCGAAGTTGGGATAGGAAGTCTAAAGGTATGATTGTTATTACGAGTAGCATAAGAAGTAGAGGCAAAGTTGAACTTCGATTTATATTTATAAATAAGGCAAACCGTCTCTAGGATAAAAAGTTCTATGACTGTTGAAATTTTATTGGCAGTGAACAAGTTCTTGCACGATTCTCTGGGTTTTAACGTACCGTTATTTGCCGAACAGGATCGGGGAGCTGGAATCCTTTCCGGCGGCGGTCGCTCTTGACTGTACCGTACCGGGCTAGTGGGCGGTTGCCCATTCATTTTCATTATTCCCATCCTATACGTATTTTAACGAGAATGGGCCGTGCTGTGCTGTGCCGGACAAGTCGGGGACAAGCTTAACTTTCACGGCCAGAGATAACTGTGTTAAAGCTATTTCTCGGGTTTTTTGGCCGTGGTACGCAGGTTTTGATGCCTGACATTCTGTTTACTACTGCGGTAGACATCGAAGGCGATGAGGTAACAGTAGTTGCAGTTTTTGGACGTCCCGAACGTTCTTCGTCTCCCAAGCTGTTACGGCCACGTTTAATTTCAGCTGCCAAAAATGTCACTGTGGTAAATGATGGTGTGGAGTCCCCAAACACAGAATCCAACTAGTCTTTGATGTGCGTAGGCGTATTGCCTTCCAAAAACAAATTTTAATGAGAGCTCGATACTCGATTTTGTCCATTTTCTTAAAAAACCCTTACTGAAATGACTGTTACATAACAACTGCGCGTCCAAAATGGCTGAAACTTTGGTGAGTGAATAACGAAATTCACTAGCTTTTATTTACGAATTCTGCTATCTTCATGTTGAGGTCGGAAACTTTTCAAACCACCCTCGTATGTCTTTTACCAAATTGTATTCATTTTAAATGGTTAAACAGGTATAGTGCAAATCATCACTGTAAAAGCTTCCTAGCCTTCAACTTTTTCACAATTTTTATGCATTTAGTAAAATATAATCATATTCAGATTTAAAGCATTTTTAAAAAAACCTGAAATTCTTTTACCGTGGTAGATCTTGCCTTTTATTTTTGAAGAAAATGTGCCAGAATAAGTTTCTTTCAGAATAATTTTTGCTTGTTAAAAAACAATTGATTTTTGTGAAAATCAGAATTACTCAAAAAACGCGAGAAATCGGAACACAGGTTATTAGAATTTTTTGATTGGAAATGACCTATATCGCCTTATGGAAAACCCTGTACATGTTGCCAGACCAACTTAGATGTCTTAAGTATGTCCAGTTTCAAGAATATTTTTTGAACGAACGAGATAATTCATACACAGATTTTGCATCAGCAACATAAATTTCACAAGTATTTGAGTTGAAAATATTACAGCTTTTCAATCTTCAATTCATTACTAGAAGTTGAAATACTGAGTGATGCTTGTAT